GTTAACATCCCCGAGGACATGATCACTGCAGCTCCAGCAATGCCTCCATCCAGACAAGCTGCCCCATGTGCTTTGCTGCTTAGTTGGGAAAACAGCCAGTTTGTGCACCCTGAGCAAACAGGGAGCCCTGAACTGCTCCAAGTGTCACTGGCTGATGCCAGCCCGATGCTGGGATGCCCTGGTGTGGTGTGTCACGGGGCACAGCCTTGCACAGAGGTGTCTAAGCCCCTGGTCTGCGCGTTGCAGATCGACGCGGCGTCGCTGATCGCAGCCTCTGTGATGGCTGCACCCTGCGCCCTCGCCATGTCCAAACTCGTGTACCCCGAGGTGGAGGAGTCCAAGTTCAAGGGCAAAGAAAGTGTCCAAATCGCCAGTGGGTGAGTGTGAGGGGACAGGTGGGGGAGTGGGAGTGCATTGGGGGGTGGAGTGTTTTGCCACTGTGGGGAAGCCGTGGGAGCAATTTGGGGCACAAGTGGACACTGGGGGTGGCCCAAGGCTGGGAGAGCTTGTGTTGTTCAGACATCCATGGATTGACACCTGACTTTGCACAGGGGATGCCTGGCCATATGAGTACATTGGGGTCTTTTTCCACACAGGGAAGAGCGGAACATCCTGGAAGCTGCCAGCAATGGGGCTGCCACCTCCGTGGGGCTCGTGGCCAACATTGCAGCCAACCTCATCGCCTTCTTGGCGGTGCTGGAGTTCATCAACGCTGCCGTGCGCTGGTTTGGGGAGATGGTAGACATCAAGGATCTCACCTTCCAGGTATTCCCAAGAGCAGGCCTGTGGTCTGGGCTGCCAGACCCTGCATCCCCCAGCCATCCCCACCTTTGCCTGCTGCCTTAGTAGGCTGTTGAGATCCTTGCTGAGTGTTTGGCAAGTGCTGGCAGTGGGTGTCCAAGCTGGGGGCTATGCAGAAGGTCCGCTCTGAGTCATTACCTTCTGGAATGCTTTTCCCAGGTGATCTTATCCTATGTCCTCATGCCCGTGGCCTTTGTCATGGGGGCAGACTGGGCAGACTCACCAGTGGTGGCCGAGCTCCTGGGGATTAAGATCTTCCTGAACGAGTTTGTGGCATACCAGCAGCTGTCCACATACAAGAAGAACCGTCTGGCGGGCCTGGAGGAGTGGGATGGGAGCCGGAAACAGTGGATATCTGTGAGAGGCACCTGCCACCCTGCTGGGCACAGGGCAGGGATGAGACCAGCTGGAATGGGGCATGGGAACTGGCCAGAGTGGTAGGCAGGCAGAGGGTTGGAAAAGTCCTTTAAGATTATCGAATCAGGATGATGGTGCTGGGGGTGGGAGGGCACCTATGGCCAACTAGACTTGGATGTTCCCCAACTGCTGGGTATGGGAGGAAGGAGTCAGTGACGCCCTTTCCCATTTATCCTGCTCCTTGATGGAACAGATCATGGTGCTACAGGGCCCCTGTCACCTGTCCCCGCAGCCCAACCTCTCCCAGGGACAGCCTTCATTCTTGCTCCCCAAAATAGCTGAAAGGATAAAGCGTTGGGGTGGGGGACTTATCTCCATCATGTCTGTCTGGGCTGGGAGCTCTGACATGGTGCTCAGCTCTGGGTGCTCTGGGGCTGCTCCTGGGCAGAGGTGACCGTCCCCCTGTGCCCTCCAGGAGCGAGCTGAGAGCATCACCACCTTTGCCCTCTGTGGATTTGCCAACTTCAGCTCCATTGGGATCATACTGGGAAGCCTGGGTGAGTGTAACTCATGTCCTAGGTGCCTAGGCACAAGGCAGGGGGGATCCTGGGCTAGGGAGCAAGGGCTCATCTGGGGCAGGAGGAATTTGCCCTCAAGCCTCCATGTTTGGTCTCTGCCAGGTAAGAAACAGGATTTGCATGATGTGAAAGGAATGGCTTTGCACTGCACCCATGGGCAAGAGCACGTGCATGTCCCACAAGCCTGGGTGTCACCCAGCTATGGCACAAAGAGCAGAGACTCCGGTGCTGGGAGCACTGAGGGCTCTGGTTGATCACACGTGGGTGCAGGGTGGGCACAGCGCTCTGCCAGCACCCACTGCTGCCAGGACAGGCAGACAGTGTGCTGGGTGCTGGCTGGGACCACCATGTCCTCCAGACAGCAGGAGTTGGTGTGGGGAGGGCACTGTGTGGCAGAGCCAGCTGGGGACCAGAGACACGTCCCTATCTGTCCCCAGCCAAGGGTAGAGCTGGAGTCAAGATGTGACTCCCCCTGGTCTCTGTTTTGCCCCACAGGCTCCCTGGCACCTCACCGCAAGGGTGAGTTTGCCTCCGTGGTGCTGCGGGCGCTGCTCACCGGCATCTGCGTCTCCATGCTCAACGCCTGCCTGGCAGGTAGGTCCCTGCCCACTGCCATCAGGGCCAGAAGGAGCTGGGGAGGGACATGCACAGGGCTGAAGACCCCTATAGATGCAGGTTCAGGAATGGGGGTGGCTGGCCTGTCCTCCCCATGGCTCTGCCAAGGCCTCCAAACCCTGTTCTCCCCTCATGGCTCTGCCAGGGGCTGCCGAAGCCCAACAGCTCTCCTGGGGCTCCTCGTCCTCATCTGGACTGGGATGGGGACATATCAAGGGCAACATCTGGCGTACTGCAAGGAGCTCCCTGCAGTTTCAGGGAGTGAGGTGGGATAGCTTATGGGACCTGCACAGTCCCAGGTACAGGATTTGCTAGTTGGGCTATGGGATTTGTGAGCAGAGTTGGGACACAGGACTTACAAGTACGCTTGGGGTATGGGATTTGAATCCATGGCCCCTCTCAAGTCTCAGTAGGAGACCTTGTCCCCCAGGTCTCCTCTATGTGCCAACGGAGGTGGGTGACTGTGTGACATTCTTCAGCACGGCCGACTTCAACAGTACCAGCTACAGCATATACACCTGCTGCAAGCAGCTCTTTGCCAGGTGGGTATGAAGGGCCCCAGAGCTGTCTGGGACCCAGGTGGTGGGGCAACAGCTTGTCCTGACCACATGTCTCTCCTTCCAGCTCGGTGTTCGAGAACGGGACACTCTCCTTCACAGGATCCTGGGCTGGGCAGGCGGAGAGTGTGCTGTGGCTGACGGAGTGCTGTGGGCACTACAACCACACATCCTGTGCAGGGACAACCTAGAACCATGGGAGGGGCACCAGGGTCTGCAAGGCTGGCCCCAAAGGTAGCAAAAACCCTGACAGACACCTGAGCATTTTGTCTTCTCCAGTCCAAAGTGCTGATGGACAGTTGTGTGCACCTTGCAACCAGCACCCTTAGGTGCTGGCCCCATGGACACAAGGAAGCTGCTCCCAAATAAATTATGGCCATCCCCATGTGCTTGCCCTCAGACCCCCTCTGGCCCCCACCTGCAGCTGTTCCACCACAGCACAAGGTGCTTTGCTGAGGCTGCACCCCATGCTCACTGCAGACCTCGCAAGCCAAGCCTCACCCACTGCCAGCTTTGGGGTCTGGCCACAGCCACCCTCTTCTCCCCATGGGGCATGGATGGGGGTAAAGGTGGTACTTGAAGATGTTTCCTTTCTCCAAGCACAAAGCTGCCCCATCACCCCTTGCTTGGGTGCCTCTTTTCCGCAGGGACCACAGTGCTGGGGAACAGGCCAGTCCTCCTCACTTTATTGCACTCGAGAGCACCCAGTCGCCAATGTGGCCACGTTATGTACATCGGTATTTTACAATCACCCAGCAAGAAAGGACCAGGGCCCCAGCGTGCACGGTGCTCCCAGCCCAGCTGCTTCCCTCCACCAGGCTGCACCGAGTCACTGTTTGGGACCCCACCATGCAGGGGGGTGTCACTGGCACCCAGCACCCTGTTCCAAAGCCCCGGGGAAGGCGATGCTCTGCAGCACAATGAAGCTGACAGTGCTGGGCTCTCTGTGAGGCCCCTGCCCGCTGCCACACTCCGCCAGCTGCTGCACGCCTGGGTGAGCTGACGGGCACAAGGGAAGCTTGATGCAATGCAGGGTGCTTTACTTTCCAGCATGAACATCACTGCCTGTCCATCACTGCCTCCTGCCACAGGGCAGCAGGATTTGGAGTGCGTGCTGCCAGCTGCCGCTGGAGTCTGGCATGTGCCAAGCAGGGGTGGTGCTAATTAAGCATGACCAGGTCATGGTGTGGGGCTGGGTGTGGTGTATGGGGTCTTTGTATGGCAGGGGGACAAAGAGGAGCAAGTCCTGAGGGCTGGACACCCACATGTGCCAAGGCAGAGACTGGCACAGAGAGGAGGTCACTGATCCTGGGTATCCCATGTGAGGTAGAGCATTCTTACCATGGCGCTGGCCAGCACCATAGCAGCACCATCACCCTCAGCAGCCACCCAGCAAGGGTGTGGGAGACTTCCCACAGGGCACAGGGGAGGGGAGGGGTGCAAAATCCCTTCCCTGTGCAGCTGCTGGTACCCACCATGGGACTGGCACACACTTCAGAGCCCCACGTCATAGCAGAGGAGCCCTGCAGCCACCACTGAAACCCTCTGCAGCAAAAACAGTGTACCAGGGCAAATGGGACTGCCTGGGTGCTGTTGGGGTTCTCAAGGGACAGAACACTGGCAGGGCTTGGCCTGGTCACTTTATGGAGGACACAGAGAGCGACATGAGGTGCTGGGAGCCAAGAGGACATCCCAGACTCCCAGTTTGCTTGGGGGAGCCAGGCAGGGGCATGGCACCTGCAAAGCCCAAGGGAGCAGCTCTGCCCCTGCCTTAAGGAAGGCACATGGAGAGAGTCAAGACAGGAAAGCGAGTCCCAGTGTGGAGGGGCACGTGGCCCCACAGGCTCCACCAGCAGCAGCAGCTCTTGTAGAGAGGTACTGGTGAGGGATCCCCGCTGTCCACAGCTCACAGCCCCCCACAGCCCCAGTCCAGCCGCTCACACTAACACACACCACACAACACAAGTGCTGCGGGCCAGGGCAGGGCTGGAGGGAGGAGAGTTTTGGCAGAGACCACTGCCAGGATCTCCCTTTTCCAGACTGGCCACAGGGCTGCTCAGGCTGGGTCCAGAGCGGGGGTCCCAGCTGCAGCAGCTCCGGCTACTGCGGGCAGCCAGCCCTGCTGCTCTCTCCCGACCTGGGTTTGGAGGCTGTCGGGACCTCCCCTGTTCCTGCAGCTCTCCGGGAGCTCTTGGGGCTCACAGCAGCCTTGCGGGTGCCCTGAGGACTTGACAGCGCCTTCTTCTGGAGCTGGGGACTGGACTGGGCAGATTTCCTGCCCAGGGAGGGGCTCTTGGAGCCCTTGGGCTTGGCTGGCTCCAGTGTCTTCAGGCCCAGGATGCTGCAGTAACGATTGCACCGGTGAGCAGCCGGGAATTGCTCCAGCAGGGAGGGGAAGCAGCTCTCCTTCAGCCCCTGGTACCTGCCAACACAGTCATCCTCAGCCCCTGTTTTGCACCAGGAGATGTCCCATCAGAGCAGGGAGCCGAGGATGGAGCCCGACCTCACTGACCACCATTGCCCTTTGCCAGGTGAGCAGCAGAGCTGGGTTTGCTGCCCCAGCAGCTCGGGGTCACTCACCCTTTCAGGTTGGTAGCGATCCGCACATTGGTCAACTTCCAGCCCACTCCTGCAATTAAAGGAAGGACAATCAGGCTCTGTCCAGAGAAGGATGGGCACTGGCACCAAGGGCAGGTCATTGCCCTGGGAGCTGGGCTCCACAGCATGTGGGGAGAGAGGCAGGAGGGCAAGGCTGGGGCTTTTTTTCCTCCTTTCCCAGGCCAGAGGGTGGTGAGGGGCCACAGGAGTCAGACAGGAGATCCCTTTACCTTCCATGTCAGTCACAAGGATGTTTCCATTTGTCCACTGGTAGACCCAATGCTGGAAGGTACAGCATTTGAGCACGATCTCCGAGGTGCCTCTTGCTACCAAGCTGCCATCTCTCTCGGTGACACAGTACTGCTCACAGGGCCCACCCAGGTCCTCCTCCATTGTGGCATAAGGGATGTTGTTGGCCGGTCGATAAACCAGGTACAGTGGAATTATCCTGTGTGGGAGAGCACAGATGGGGTCAGCATGGTGAGCTCTCCCACCACTGCAAGCAGAGGTTCACACCATGGTCTGCATCCCTGGCTTTTGCCTTCCCCTAATATCCCCTCTGTTTGAGGGTGGGAGAACAGTGCACTGTCCCTTGGGATGCCCCAGCACCCACAGGGAACCCTCCCACAATTCCTGGGATGCTCTGCCAGGGCATCAAGCCAGTGGAGCTGCAGCACCTTACTTACTCGGGCACTGCTCCAAAATCAGGGACGGCTCGTGCCTCGGCAGCAAAGATCTTGCAGTACTCACGGCTGGAGTTCTGGACTTTACATTCCTGGAGGTGCAAACAGAAGAGTCAAGGACCTGTCCTGTCTCGCACCAACACCTCCCTGGGACCCCTGCCAGTTGTTTCCCTGTCCTGGTGGTCAAAGGACAAGTGATGGGAAGGTTCCAAGCAGCTCTGTGTTGCTCAGAGAGAAGAGCTGAAGCCAAGAATGACAAGGACATGACCAGACCACTGCTCTTCAGAGCATTCCAAAAGTGGAAGGAAATAGCAAAAGTGGGCACAGAGCTGGGGACTGTTTGGGGACCAACCTACACAGATGGGGAGGGTGGAGGGGAGACAGGTGGATGGTGCCCCACAAGGATGCCCACCTGGATGGTGATATCATAGTTCTTCTCGATGAGGCTGTTCTCATTCTTGGTCCCAAAGACAATGAAATTGTGCACTTTGATGACACAGGTGTGGCCAGACTCAAAGACGGGCTCCAGGCCGTAGATGGCTCTGGCACGGCAGGCTTTGCGCAGGAAACCAGCGCCCACTTCCATGTCCTCGCTCACCACGCGCCCGAAGAGCTTATCCCCCCAGTAGCCTGCGTCAGCCAAACCCTTTGCAAACACCATGGGCGTCATCTCGATCTCCTCTCCAACTGCTGGGGGGAAGTGCTGGTGAGTGGGGACAACGTGGGCACGTCCTGCCCCTTCCACGGAGCTGCCCGTCCCCCGCACAGCCAGGGGCAGTGGTCACAGCTCATCACATATGGCCCTTACCTTCAATCTCTTCCCGCAGGCTAAATCCTGACAACACTAGAGGAGACAGAAAGCAAAGAGGTGTCAAGGTCCTGACAGGATTCCACCCTGCCCCATGCACTTGCACGACTAGGGATGGCAAGTAGGATGGTGGGAATTGCTCATAAATCAGTACACAGAGGCAGATGCCCCTCACAGAGATGGTGTTACAGGATATGCAAGGCTCCCCTGCTATAGCCTGGCACCAAGCCCTCTCCACAGTTGGGCACACCACCCCATAGCACAGCCAGGCAGATGGGAGAGGCTGCTGAGGGCTCCTCACCTTCTGGGCTGAGCAGGAAATCGGTGGAGTCGGTGCCATACTCGTTGCTGATCACGCACCGGTAGACCCCGCAGTCCTTCTGGGACGCCTGCACAATAGCCAGAGCTGCCTGGCCCTCGTCGCCAGCACTGGGAAAAAAATGGAGCGTGGCCTCAGCCCCGTATGGTGTGTGGGGGCACACAGGAGCCCTGTGACAGGTGCTGCAGGTGAGCACCGTGCTGCCCTCAGGGGGCTGGAAGAGAGCTACAAAGAAAGCCAGCCCAAGGGTATCCCAGCTGCTCCCCTGGCACGTCATGGCACCAGGAGTCCTGCCCTGTGCTTTCTACTCACAGAGATGCTCCTCCTCCAGGCAAGCCCTGCAAAATCTGGCCAGAATTGGGCTACAGACTGATAAAGGTACTTGCCTCTGAGTGAGGCTGGGTCAGGGCTTTGCAGAAGTAAGAGCTGGGACCCTCATCCTGAGACCTGCTGCCTGAGCAGGCTCTGCTCTGGTCCCCTAGAAGGCAATGGCCACTCCTGGTCCATCTGCCCCAGCTCAAAGATCTGCCACAAAAGAGCATTTCTGCCCCAGAATCACCTCTTTCTGCCTGCTCATTATAAAGGCAGATCAAGCAACACTCAAAGGCAAATCCTAACTGATGCACATGATGTTCCTACACAAATCCTCTGGGCTTGAGAACAACTTGCTCTCCATAGTGCACCCAAAGGAGCATCCAGGATACAACCAGCCACCCATATGTCCCAATATGCTCTCCCTGCACAATGGCAATACCAAGGGATAAAGAGGGCACGGGCAGAGCTGCTTTTGCCAGCGGTGATTGCATCGAACACCCTCCCAGCACCGCTGCCACCCTCACATGGATCATTTGGGGTCACTGTTTTGCAGTTTACATCCACCCTTCAGTTACTGCTATGGGCACAATACCTTCCCTGCCCTCCCCAAGGTCTGGGTACTCAAAGCACAGGCTCCAGATGGAGCATCAATAGGACAAATTTGGCAGCAATTCCCCATCTGGGCGATCTTTCCCTCCAAGGGCACTGAGAGGATGAAGTTCACAACGTACCATGCCACGCACTGAGCTTTCTATGCAGCCTTAACAGAGGGGCACTTTCACACCCCAGTCAAGGCAAGGAGCTGGATTTAGCAGGTGACACACAAGGACTACGACGATGCAGAGCTGGCAAGTTACCTCCTTTGGGCTTCAGCTACAGGGATCTCGTCCTTGTACCACATCAGCTTAGAATCACTCAATATATTGAAGAACTGGCACCAAAGTTTCAGGTTTCCTGATGCATCGGAAAATTGTTCTGCCCTGATCTTACGGACCACCTGTGGAACTAAGGACAGGGTGTAAAGAGATGGATGGTGAGACACAGAGTGCTGGCTGCAGCTCCAGGGACAGGCCAGCCTACCCCAATGCTGCTGCTCAGGGCTTTGGTGTTGGGTATCACACATATGTCAGCACAGCATTGCCCTCCCAGGGAAGGTCTCAGAACTCCGCTTGGATAAATAAGGTGGGATAGAAGTGGTACAAATTCATTCAACAGTGCAGCACTGCAATACCCAGTGGAGCCTGGTCAGACACAATGCAGAAAACACTATGGAATGTTGGAGGAAACATTTATCTACTGAAGTGGGGATTTATTAAGGTTTTTCTTACTTTGCAAGAGTGCTGCTTCCTGTGAGGGCATCATCTCCTTCAACTCCAGGATTATGCCTTTTCTAATTCAATGCCACGAGGGATCAAATTAGCATTGACCACCTCGCTGATGCCCACTGAATCAGAATCATGGTTTGGATTCAAAGGGACCTTCAAGACCATCTTGTTCCAACCCTCTTGCCATGAGCAGGGACACTTCCCACTAGACCAGGTTGCTCAGGATCCCTGATCAGCATCAGGTTTGGTGAGGACCAGAACAGGGAGACCAAAAACAAGAGGATTCTATGATCCCTTGGACCAGGGAAGTCCAGGCTGTGGAGACAGCCAGTCTCAGTGCTGCTGCCTCTTGCATTCCTCCACCCTCCCTGCACTGGGCAGAAGTTTTGGGGGAGACTTTTGGCTTTCACACAGCCAAAGGACAATGCTGAAAACCCTGCAAGTACAGAGAACTCATGTGGCCCCAACTCACTATCACCAGCTCCCTTTGTAGGCAACAACAGAACACGGTTTATGGGGATTAGCTCCTCCCTCACCTTTAAATGGGTTATTTGCTTTCTGGGACTCTGTTCGCTGTGCTTCTGGCTTAGCATCTCCAGGGACCTCGTGGTCACCACTGGTGTCACCTGGAGGCTCCTCGTACAGCTTAGGAACCTCCAACGTGGCCATCTTCCTCGTGAGGGTTGGAGAGCACTGCTCTGTGGGAGAGGATGGAGCCAGAGCAGGAGAATGCAACAGGGGTGTGTTCTTCCTGGATTGCTGTGGTGAAACAGTCGGACTTCTCATGTGTCCTGGGCTCTCCAGGGTTGCTTCCTCTTCCTCCCCCACCTGTTTGGGTTTTGGCAGGTATATTTTCCGTCGGGCTCCCAAAGCGAGCTCTTCTGGCGTGGCACAAGGTAGCACTGCCAGAGGGTCACCAGGGCTCTCTTCAGAGCTCACTGGAGGCAAATCAGAAGAGTGAGGAGGCTGCCCTGCTCCTGATGCTGGCATGCTGCCCACCACGATGGAGGGCACAGAGAGCAGGGGTGGCCCCTCGGCCTTGGGGGCAACCCCGGCGCGTTTCTTTGGTGGCACAGGCCTGCAAGCCAGCATCTCCTGGCTGAGAACAAATTCCTCGTTGATCATGCCTGTGATCCGCCTGGATGTCCTGGGGGTCAGAGGCAAGTTCTCTGCTGTCTGAAAGAGCTGGTTGTTTTGTACCTTTTCCAAAACTCTCCTTGAGGTGCGAGGGCTCAGCCCAGCAATGCCTATCTCTGGCATCATGCCTTCCCCCACATCTGGCTGCTCCTTGTCCCCAGAGTCAGTGTCTCCTTTTGTGGCATCCTTACTGCTATCTGACATTTTTAGAAGCAGCAGCAGGTAGTTCTTTAAGGAGGAAACCAGGTTTTTGTGCTGCATTTTCTCCTCCAAAGACACCTCCTGACATCTCTCGGGGCCAGGCAGGACCAGCGGTACCTGTGGCTGGACCTCAGCACCTCCTTCAAAAGCCCCTGGAGGTGCTGCTGGTCCTTGGCATGGAGCTGTGGCTGTCTGCTCTCCTCCTTCCCTCCCCTGAGGTCCCACGGGCACTGGTTTGGCATTCTCTTCTCCTAACATGCTGGCTGAAAACGTCTCTTGCGGGGCAGATCCATCTGTCTTTGTGGTTTCCATTTCTCCCCTCACAGGAGGAAGCAGCTGGGGTCCAGATGGGACCTCTCCTGTGGTAGCCTCCATCCCTGGGGCTCCATGAGCTGTCAGCAGTGCCTCCCGAGCCACCAATGGCTCTGCTGCAGGAGCAGGAAGCAGTTTTTCCTTGGCAAGTGGAACTGATGCAGGAGCTGCTGTTTCAGTGTCCTGCTGCCCCAAAATTGTCCCTCCTGCCTCCCTGTGCACAGCCCCAGGACATGGCTGTGCTTCACCACTCCCTCCTGTCCTCACACTGGGATGGCTCTCAGACAGCTCTGCTCCTGCCTCTTTGCTCTTCCCATCCTTGACTGTCTGATGTGGGATTTGCTCATGAGAAACATTTTCTCCAGTGCTTTCTCCAGTTTTATCCTTTGGAGGACTCAAATTTTTTAGCGATGGCTCTTCCCTGCCTTGGCTTTTGTTCTCTTGATTTAACAGTCCTTGCTGAGTCTCTCTGCCCTCAAGAGCATGGGAATGTCTTTCTGCCTGTTTCCTGGGGGGTGGGTGCTCCTTGCTGGACTGTATGTGGTCTGGAGAAGGTGCTGTTGGTTTTGGTGGCTCCTGAGGCCTCAGCCGAGGATTTGTCATTTTCACAGCCCCTCTGGTTTCCTGGCAGACAGGCACTTCCTTTCTGACCTCCTCTAACTTACTGGCTTGCTGACCAGACTCTGTGCTTGGACAAGACACTGGGTGTGTTAGATCACCAGGAGACTGTCCCACTGTTGCTGCAATCTAGTAAAAAAAAAAAAAAAAAAAAATTAGCATAATTTTACCGCATGGGTCTGCTCAGTCATACTTGTGGTCCACCTGTACCATATGGCACCGCCCAATTTCTGAATCATGAGTATTAACCTGATACTGCTGATACCCATCCAGGGTCTCCTGGCTTTGCCATCATCCCACAGGAAGGGGTCTCACCTGCTGCATAAAATGTGTTTTCTTTTCATCAGCTCCAACCCTTCTGCCTTTCAAATGCCTTTGCTGTGCACAGACAGGCAGGAGATCTGCCTCTCTAAATCATTCAGTGGCTTCTAATCCAACCTCCTCTGATTCAGCACCTTCCCAAGAGCAAAACTTTTCCCTCTTCCCCAGCCACTTGCATAATTCCCTTGCTTTTGTTAAATATTTGGTGCTCCCCTATCTCCACTCCAAGATGGGGTGATGGGGATGTCAGACACTCTCTGGATGAGGCTGCCCAAGTGATTTATAGAGAAACTGTACACCATGACGTTATCAGCACTGCCCAGCCATTCTGTTCCTCTGACATTTGGGAAGCTCCGAAGTTTCCGACCGCAGCTACGCACCAGCAGGCATTGTCAGGGAGCTGCCTGCTGCGACGGCTGAGCTCTATCCCGAGGAGATCTGCTGAGATTCTCCAGCCAAGGGGCACCATCTATTTCTGTAGGGAAGGCAGAGATACACGCCCTGCCTGGCCGATGCTCTGTGAGCAACACCAGGACAATCGCATGGGGACAGGGCATGCACACAACAGGTCCCCAAGGATCTGCTGCTAAGGATTTTCTCCTGAGGTCCCTGACTTGAGCTTTAAGCCTCCCAAATGGAGGCTGTGGCAAAGGAGGGCTGTAGCACTTGGACCTTCTATTTTGTGCTGCCTCTGCTTCGTTTGATAGCTTGGGAAAAAGAAGAAAGGTAGCACCAGTCTCTCAGCAAGTCCTTCCCAGAGGAATTTGTAGAATCATAGCATGGTTTGGGTTGGAAGGGACCTTAAAGATCACGTCATTCCAACCCCCTGCCATGGGCAGGGACACCTTCCATTAGAGCAAGTTGCTCCAAACCCCATCCAACCCAAACTTGAACACTTCCAGGGATAGGCAGCCATAGCATTTCTGGGCAACCTGGGCCAGGGCCTTACCACCCTTTTAGCCAACAATTCCTTCCCAATATCCCATCTAACCTTGCCCTCTGTCAGTGTGAAGCCATTCCCCCTTGTCCTATCACTCCAGGCCTTTGTCCAAAGTCCATCTTTGACTGTTAGGACAAAGTGAGTATCGGAGGGCTGGGCTGGGACAAGCACCATTAGGGGCCACTCCTGCCCACAAAATTCAAGTCTCCACACTCAGGATGTGCAGAAATGGGGCTCCAGTTCTCAGGGTTGTACAAGGCACCCCCAGATGCCACAGGTCCCTGCTGCTGTTCCATTAGAGTCATGTCCCTATCCTGCCTCAGAGGGCTGTGTCACAACACAGAGCAGTTCAGCACTCAGGCTTAAAAGGTTTGATTTTAAGAGACTGACACAACTCATGCAGTGAAACCCCTCTGAATTTTACCACAGTATTTGATCCTCCATGACACAGAAAGGGATAGGAATGGGAATAGCCCAATCTAAAGGAGGGACCAGCCCTGGTCCCTCCACTCTGGGGCTGAACCAGGGGGGCTCCGGGTGGGTCAGGGCTGCTGGTTCACAGGTGGAAGCACAGTGGTGGCTCTGTACAGTGGTGCTGGTCAATGGGGACAACTCTTTGGCTGAAGAGGGCTCAGGGCTTGTGGGGAATTTGCTTATTACCAGTGCACGAGCTAAAGCTCAGTCAGAAAAGCTTTCTGGGAGCTTTTCAGGAAAGCATCTGTCTTTAAGTAACTGTAAATCACTCAAAACTAGGGCCATATACAAGAAATATAATAAAATCATCAGTTCAAATTTTGAGTAAGAGTGATCATCATGCAAATCCAGTTTCTTCTCAGCTCTTGTGGAGGAGGATGCTCAAAAACTGGCTTCAGACCGTAGGGTCAGGCATTTTGCTACAGTCAAATCCAGCTCAAAAGAGGAGTCCTGAGCATGAGGGCCAGTTAGGTCCCCAGGCCAGGATAATACCCATGTTATGACCTTGTCTTGTTTAAGAGAAGAATAAAAGAGAAAAAGACAAGTAACCCGTGTCCTGAGGAGTGAAAATATCCTCAAACATGCCTGGAATCAGCCTTAAAGGGCTTTAAAACAGCTTATTTGGTCTCACAAAAGCTTGAGGACTTTCCCCAGCAGCACCAAGGAGCTGAAGGATTCAAATTCAAATCAAGAGCATCCCCTTTTGTCTCCTCAAAGGCACACCAGCTGACAAGTCACAGGTTTCCCTCCGTGAGTGGGATTTTGAAGAGAAAAATACCTTGATGCATGTCAAAAGCTCAGGGATGACAGCCCAAGCCTGGCTGCTGCACTCCAATATCTTCCACCCTGTTTGAGAGCAAGGGGCGTAAAAGAGAGCAGAGAGGGGGGAAAAAAATGGATTTGCCACAGGCTGGCCTACACAGCAATAATTTCTGCAGCAATATGTGATGCTGTGGGTCAGGTTGGAGATGGATTCAGGGTGCTGTGCAGTGGCAAGGCCAGAACAGAGATGGTCACTGCATAACACAGCAGGTTCTTACCAGCAAAGCTCCTCCTACCTGTGGCTAAAGAAATCTGAATGAGGAAAAAAGGATTGGGCTTTTTTTCCACTGAGGCACCCAGCAATCCCACTTTCTGTATTGTGGATGTTTCCACATCCTGAAGTATGTGCATTACCTACCAAGGGAGAGGTGCTGTACCTGAAGTCTTGTCTGTACCAAAAGTGTGCACCTACCACAGCCCACACTCCAGATCCTGATAGCAAACTGGACTCCGAGAACCTTTTACCACAGAAGAGATCATTAAAGAAAAAAAGGTAAAAAATAGTCTGGTAGGTTCCAGTCTAATATTTTCATGGAAAATATTTCAGGTTAAGCGACAAAAATAGCAGTTGACTAAAAGATGCGCTGAGGGTCAGGAGCAGGTGCTGTGCCCTGGCGCTTCATCACCACCACAATGAGTCTCTCAACAGAGTTTTTCCAACAGGGAAGAGCCAAAAAACCAGTCCAGACCTACTGTATACATGTTGCACTGTAAACAAACCTTGAGTCCCTGCGGCGCAGCTCATGTGTTGTACCTGGCACACTGTGCTCATTTGCATGGGGGGGCTCGTTAAGGCCGCTGAAGCTCCGGCTCCCTTGTTAAACTGAACAGATGCCATTGGCCTCATCTGTCTACGCACAAGGCCCCCACCCCCAGCTATAAATAGCCATTCAGTGCTGCCTGCTGAACTGATCTGAAAACATTTCGCATGAGGTCAGGCTGCCGATTAAACTGCAGAGCTCACAGCCACCCCAGGCCACCCGGAGACCAGCTGCTCGCATGGCCCCGGCTTACATCTCTCACCACCTCAGCTGACATTTGTTTGGAGATGGGGTGAAAGCTCTGCTCTCCGGGCACACAAAGTCCAGAAAGCCCTTTCCCTGGGTGCTTTCACCAGTGGAGAGCTGTGGAGCCTCGGCAGCAGATCCCACGGGGCACTCGCAGCCCCCCACGCGTGGTGCCACAGCACAACCCTGCAGCACAAGGTATTTTCTTGTTGCCACCCCTGCGTTGGCTGCTCTCTCTCCTAGTTACCTCTTTGTTTCCCTCCAACTTCTGTGCTTGGTGTTTGCCTCTCTGTCCCTCGGACAGCACAGGTCCTGCCTCTGACACCTCAGAGGACAATGGAGCATCCTCTGTCTGTCTGCTGATGGCCACTGGCCGCAGGGCAGTCTCGCTCCCGGCCTCATCCTTGGCTCCCACCTCCTCCTTCCCTGCTGCTGGATTCACCTGCTTATCAAAATACATGTCCTTTAATGAGAAGTACACGTCATCACTGGTTTTAGTGTCCTGATTCACAGCTTTCTCAGGCTCTTTGACTTTCAGACTGGTTTCCACTTCTTGATCCTTTGCTGCCCTCAAACGTGCATTCCTACGTAAGGGGACAGGAGGGGCAAACCTGGGATTTGAGGAAGGATTGGCCCTGTCTCTCCCACTTTCTTCTCGCTTGGAAACTTCCTGCGTTGCTGCTGAAGGAGCCCCCACCTTCTTTTTCTTTTTAGCTGCAGAGTCTTTCGCCCCTGGCTTAGTCGCCAGGTCCTCCACTGTCTCATAGATATACGTGAGAAAGCTGTTCCCATTCTCCTCCCCAGTCTCCAAAGTGGCATCTCCATTGGTTGTCACCTCTGCTTTCAGAGGTGCTACCAGTTTGTTTGAGAAGCCCATCACTGCACTGACTGGCTGCTCCTGTGTCTCAGCAATATCCTTGTGCAATCTGGACTGTGAATCCGCGACGTGCACTTTCGCTGCATCTTCCTTCTCCCATGAAGAGTCTCCCGACTGGAGATTCTGATCCCTAGCCAGCCTCCGCTTCCTCTGGAGCCTCTCGGGGCTCATTCCCTGCAACTTCTCCACCTCCACGTTTTCTTTTCCTCGTTTCTTGCCCTGTTCTATCTCTTGCAGCTTTTCTTCAGCTTTTCTCTTTATTTTGTCAAACCATTTCTGATGGATTTTGAATTCCGTCATGGTTCCCACTTCCAGCACACCAGAGCAGGACACGATGCCTTTGGTATTTCTAGCTGAGGCCTGGTAAATGCCTGCATCTTCTTCTTGGCACCTGGAAACCAAAAGCTGTGCATGAGACCTACCCATCCTCCCCAGGATTCCCACTGGGCACACAGGCATTCCCCACCTGCTCTCCCACTTCCTGCTCCAGGGAGGCCAGAAAATGAAGATGTGGCCCATGAGATGCCCACAGAATGTGTGGAGGCCTGGGGCTGGTCTCCCTCCCCGGCTCTGTGCTCTCTCAGTACTAACAGGCAAGGAGGTTTGATGTTAAATCCGTGCCCAGCTCCACCCTGGGTTGTAACTCTGGTAAGAGAGGGCTGTGATGGAGGAGGAACAGGCAGCACCAGGCTTCCCAACTGTTCTTGGTCACATTCCTCTGCAGAACCTTTTCCTCTCAGCTCTTCACAGCCTACATGAATCCTATTCTTCCTCCACTGTACTGCCTTACCAAAGCCTTCCCACCCCATGTCACAGGCAGCAGCACAAGCACGTGCCTGCCATCCCTGTTGTCACCCCTCGAGGACACCTGGCCCATGGAGATCCCTGCTCCTGCAAGAGGTGAGCCAGCCTCTGACGGAAATCTGGAGTACACCTGGGGCAGCAGAAAAGCCCAGGCTTGAAGCACAAGGATGACAGGACAATCAGCAACACTGATATTCTGCATTTTCTGTCACTGCTGCACCTGTCTGACATCCCAGTTGCAGGACTTGAGGTGCCACAGGTCCCTGCCTGCTGGAGATACAGTGTGCCTGGCTCTTCAGAAACACAGTCCTCGCTTAAAGTTAAAAGAAGCTGGTAGCCAGGGCTGGATAAAGGAGGGCCTTGCCTCCATTCATCAGTGCTAAAGCAGCCCTTTCCATAGTGACAGCTAGGAACGGGACAGGGCTGTAGCTTAGGACACTCCTGTGAACTGTTTCTGTCCTTGTCCTGCCTGACTCCCTGGACCATCATCCTGGGGGCAGACGGTGCTTTGCCGTTGGTCACCTTTGTCCAGCCGTATTGCTCAGTACTGGAAGGCTCCAGAGAGAAGGATTTATCCTGCCCTTCCTGTTGCTTGCAGCATGGCAGCTATCCCTGGATGCAGTAATGGATCTCATACTTGTATGATTGGGGAGTCACCAGAGCGAAGAGCTGGGGGGGAAGGGACAGCCAGGAACTTGCAGTGGGGAGCAGAAAGGGCCAGCACAAGTGCTGGGGGGACATCACTGCTGACAGCTCCTCCAGCTACTGAGAACACACTCAGAGCTTCCACCACCAAATCCAGCCCCTCTCCAGCTCCTTTACTCACTTGTACAGCTGCAGGGTGTGGCGATTTCCATGACGGAATATCTCGTACTTGGGTAAGCCACAGTAGCGATCCATCTCCTCATCATCCTTGTACCATGTCACCTCCGGCTGCGGGAACCCTGGGGAGGAGATGGAGGGTGTGAAACATTCCAGCCAGGAGTACAGCCAGCCTGGTATCAGCAGCAAACCAAAACGCTCCAGCAGACCAGGACAGATGCTATTCTGGGCTCACCACATTCCTAAATCACACAGCAGAAACAAACAACGGAAACTTGATGGGCTTATCTCAGACTTTTATCACTCTTAGGAATAGGGCTATTTTTGAGAAAAAAATACCAGCACTTCATTCCTGAACAGAGGAGTGTGGATCACACGCTCATCTCCTGTAACACTGGCCAGGAGGAGAAGGTGAGCATTCCGTCACTTTTATGTGAAGAGGGATGTTTTGATGAGACCAAGGCTATGGTTGGAGAACAGCTCTCCCTTCCATGGAGCTCTCAGCATTTCACATGGTGTCACAGCCTGTAAGTTGATCTGAAACTTTCCATTGAACAGAAACAACCTTGATTGCATCACAGTCAGCTCAGTGTCCTACAAATGTCACTTGACAACAGATGTCACCTGCCTTTTCAGTAGAATGACATCATGATGTGTGTGACTGGCTGGCCAGCAGGCTGGGCACACAGCCACGTTTCCCACCACTGGCAGCAGTGTTGGATCAGCATGTGAGTCCCACATGGACCAGTGCTAGCCACAGCCCTCAGCGCTCACCCACAACAGCTCTAGCTCAGAGTAAGAGAAGCTTTCATGTAAAAACTGCTCAAGCCAGCAGGCAGCATGAGTTCCTGCACTTCACACAGGGCTCCTGGCACAGCCAAGCCAACTCCCAAGACACAGGATGGAAGTTTCAATGATCACGTCATGTCTCAGCTATAGTCAATATGCTCAGCAGTTGTTCAAAGCCCCAAGGCAGGCACTCAAAACTTATCTTCTGCACATGTCCCTGCTGGCTTTCCCTGTGGCCAAAGGAAGGGAGTTCGGCACCTCCACCAGTCCCCAGGGCTCACCCCACCAGCCCCCAGCATCCCAGAATGCAAGGGGGTTCAGCTCCTATGGACATCCCTGGCATGAGGCCAGTCAGGACTTTCCAGGAATATCCAAAGTGTCCAGACTCAATGACTCTGGAGTAGTGACAGGGCAGAGACAGGGCACTCCCTACCTATCCTGGATACTTCCCAGTTGCCAACCCACAGGTTTCAAGGCTGACCAGGACCCCAAACCTCCTCCTTGCACCAGCCAGAGATGCTGGCAGCCCATAGCAATGCCTAAGCCCAGCTTACTCCCGTTCCTATGAAGGTCCTATAGCAGGAGTGAAAGTCTAGTAGCAGAGACATATCAGCAGGAATTCACCCAGGTTTTGGCCAATCCAAAACGCCTTTTTTCCAGAAAAGCAGCGTATGCCAAATCTCATGTACTGCTTTGGTTCCTCTGCCCCAATCTGCCCTTCTGCAACACTCCCTGTCCACATCCCTTGCTTGTGGGGCTCCCCAGTGTCCTCTGGCCCCTGGTCCTCTGGAGGGATTTAGCCCACTGGGACCAGACAGGGCTGGGAAAATAGTCTCAGAGAAATTTTCCTTTCTTGCTCTCCTCCATGAGCAGCAGCCATCCCCATGGCCCAAACACCTCCACAGACCGGATTTTACTCTATTATTTTCCTCCCTCACTGAGGTCTTTTGCTCTGCACTGTCCCAGCACCCCCTCTCTCCATCCTCACTGCCCCTGCATCTCCCACATGCTTTGCTGCCTCATTCTGCTCCCACTGCTGCCACCAGCAGCTTTGGCTTTCCATTGGGTAGCGCCTCTTCTGCAGGAAGCCAAGCCACGACTTTCTCCCAAAGCCCTTCCTGCATGGTTCTCCATCCTTACCTCTTGCCACAGCCTGTTTTTTGCTGCTGCTCTGACCACCCCCAAAACAGTTTCTAGAGATGTGCCCTCAGGTACTTGTGGCTGAAGAAAATGAGCCCTAAACTGGGAACTGGAGAGAGAAAGTCATGAGAGTATTCCGGTGATGGGATCATCAGGGATTGATACTGTTGCTTATATTTTCCATAAAATATTAGCTACTGGCTATACTTGGCAGCAGGACCTTGGGCTGAATGAGCCTGTGATGGATTCTTTCTGCTCCAGGGGTGATGAAAAAAAACAATTTCCATGCAAAGCTCACATTTTGCCAAGAGCAATCCAACCCTTCCCAAAGGCTGTTCCACAAGCAAGTCCTTCGGGAGGCCCCCACGGTCTGTACCGCAGGGAGCCGGCGGGTTGATTTTCCTAATACCCTACGGGCAGCTATCACAGCCCAGCCCTTCATTCCGGGAACTGCCAGCAGATCGTTTCCGAGAAGCCCTGTGATGTCCCCCCGTGGCCTCCGCAGCTGATTTCCATTCCCAGCTGACATCTGCCGGAAAGAACTGTGCTTTCCATAACTGTGCAGTGCCTCGAGGAAAGGCTTTTCCTCCTGCTAAGCCTAAAGTCCGTTTGACCTGTAGCACTTGTGTCCTTGAGGATACCTGCTCCCTCCGAGGGGCTACAGCCGTGCCAGCCCAGTGCAGGCAGGGAGGGACCAGCTCCCACTGCACGCTCCCGCCCTGCAGCCAAGAGGAGCTGCAGGCAAGTGCGGGCTAGAAGCCTGCAGGGAGAGGGATGCTGAAAGGCTTCCCACCTCCCACGTAGGGACAGTGGCCCCAGCTGCCTGTCCAAACACCATCCATCCCTCCCCAGAGGCTGTAACCTGAGCCAAGCAGGGGATGGAGAGATGCCTGTGCAGGGACGGGGCTCCCTGGCATGGGGAGGGGAGCTGCTGCTGACGCTGCAGGCATCCATCTTCCGGCTGCTGAGTGAATGAACTCCCCCGGTCGGGGTGTGGGGGGGGGAGGCGGAAAGAGGGCAGGCATCACTCCTGGCACATCCCCTGCAACCACAGCACGGGGTGGAGCCGAGGGCTCCATCGGTGGGCACTGCCATACTGCAGGGCACCAGATGCCAACCCTTAGCATGAGACACCCTGAGCATAAATCAGCACTCGTCCTTCAAAAATCTGCCACTGCTGCAGTCCCCCGTGCAGATGGTGCCGGAGGGATTTGCCAGCTGCTCGTCCCCTGCCTGCCCCAGCCCGAGCCCTGCTGCTGCAGACGGAGCGGTGCCGGGTGCTCCGGGGAGGAGATCAGGCATCCCCGGCACATCTTCGGGCCTAGCAAAAGCCTTTAGGGAAGCGTGACTTCCAGCAGCATTGCTCCAGCCATCACAGGATCCAGGAGACTTTTCAGAGCAAGGATTTTTTTTTTCATGGAGATTGCCAGGTTTAGATCAAACATTCTCCTTCTGAAAGCTGTTAAAATCTGAGAAGTCTTCAAAGCTTTGGTGACCGTATCCAAAACAGTTCTTAAAATATCTATCCAAAACAGTTCTTAACATATCTATCCAAAACAGTTCTTAATATATCTATCCAAAATCACCCAGAGCAGCTCTGTTTAAAGTAACTTTTCTTTTGATTTTTTTGGGGGCAGGAAAGTGGGGAGTTAAGCTCCTTTATCCTTAAAATCCTCATCCACTAAGTCTGTGACTGCCTACTCACCTCTTCCCCAAGGTATGGGCAGAGCCCTTTCCCCTCTGTAATCATAATAAAACCATGGAGACACTGATGGGCTTGAGCCCCTGAGCTGATGATTTGGGAAGCCAGGTCACAGGGGTTGAACTGGCCTAAGGAGGGCCGAAACAGCACTGAAGAGGCAGCTCTACAGCAATGGGCTGGCGCTGACATATGATGGTCTTGGCTAGATCCAGCCATCACATCTACTGGTTGGACTCATTCCCTAACAAGGCAGCCACAAACCCAGGTACCTTCATCCAAGCCTCCCCATTTCATCAGCCAACATCCCTCCTTCCCAGCCAACGCTATATAGAAATGGCTGAAAAGCTGGAAAATCCTTGTAGCTCCACTAAGAGCCACTCTGAAGAGAGAAACCCAATATCCACTCACTGGGAAGGATCTGTGATGGCACTCGAGGTCCCAAAGTCCAGACATACCCACCAAGGAAAACACTTGGTGCAGAGACATGGGGTGAAGCTGCACAGTAAATGGAAATGTTCCATTTTTCACATCTCTCAGAGAACAAACGATGAACTAATTTTGTCTAAAAAAAGAAAACATGTCATAACTGATGCAGGATTTGACCCAAAACGATCAAATCAGATGTAGTAGGGACACCAGCAGCAGGCAGAACTAGGCAACAGCAGGAAAGGAGGGTTTGTGCCACCTCCTGAGAGCATTAGGAACCCGCCTCTGCCTGACCTGCTTTTTCCTTGCCTGCACCACTCAGCACATTCTGGAGATTGGCTCCTCAAACACTTGCATCTTTCTGCCTTCCTAGGACATGCCCAGTCCTAGTCCAAGTGTTCCCTGATGTGGGACTGCCCTGTAACTCTCATTGTTAGTCAAGAAGCAGCAAAAAAAGTGAAGGTATCATTGTAAGTCACATATCCATATTTGTGTCTTGAGCGTCAAAACAGGAGCAGCTGACTGTCTGCCCTTTGCCTCCACCAAAGTGTCCCTGGACTCCAGCCACAGTGCTGGGACTGAACTGGTTCCACTCTGGTCACTGGCCAGGGATGCCACTGCCACTTCCTTTCTCCCAGTAACATCTCCCAGTGGATCGCAAACATCATGGCAGGGTGAGATACCTGAGCTACTGACCAGACCCTGCAGTCAAGAGGAAGCATCCCATCTCCTGCCCCTCTTTCCCAAAGAGATCCTGAGCTCCTAAAGCAGCCCATAGGACCATGTGCAGGAGTTGCCCATATGTCCAGGCTGATTTTAAGAACATTTCCACGAAAATTCCTAGTTTTACAGGTTTATTAATTGAAGTGCATAAAGACATCCCCCAGCCTAGTTTACCAAACAAAAATACCACGATACATGCTGAAGAGACTCATTGACCATTGAGTAGAAAATGAAGCCAGTATCAGGTCAAGTTTTCCACCTGGTGCAAGTCACTAGAAACAGATGGAGCTCACTGGAGTGACCCATCAACTTCAAGGTGCAGCTAGTAAAGATTTAAGCCAGTGAGGGAAGCCAGGACTATTACTCTGGATTTCCCAACATATCTAAACATTTTCCCACCTCTGACACTTGCAGAATGGTGAGTTCCATGGTACTGCACAATATGTCAAACTTCTGCTTTCAGAAAGCTTTAACTGGGAAGAGCCCTTCTAATGAATCCCCAAACAGCATGGTTTGGAGGCATCTCGCTAGCACAGCCCTCGAGCAAGAGGGGGTCTGCTGAAGTTAAGCCTCAATAACATCAATATATCAGTTGTACCCCTGCAAGTTCAGAAAGTCAGACCTGCAGAACAAGGGAAGCTGTGCGAGAAAAGCCAAGAATTCAAAGCCAGCAGCTCTCAGAGGGCTCAGGTTGTGCTTCCTGGTGCACAGCTTACTTCCAGCATGTTTCTAATGGCAAACTAGATTTCCTTAGGAAATCCTTGGTCTTGTGCCTAAGAGGCTCACTGGAGAAGGATACTCTCCTTCTAAAATTTACAAACTTGTTTAATGTCTCTCACTGAGTAACATGTCACAGAATAATTAACATAGGCGAGGTCAGGAAGGACCACAGGTACATACCACAGAGAGCAGAGGTTTTAGAGCATCAATACTTAAAGAACAACATCTCATCAGCAAAGGAGCCCCTTGCCTCTACATCAATGCACTGCCATGCCACATCACCACAATTTCTTAGCAGCAGTCCTCTTTTTCAGCCTCTCCCTCCTCCTCCTCTTTTTGGCTTAACCCCTTCCTGCCCAAAAGGAGCAGCTTTTATTTCAGATGTTGACAGACACAAAAGTTTATCGCTGATACAAACGCTCTAACCATCTACAGCCAGCAAAGACAGACAGAGTCGGCTCCAGTACAATAGCCTTAGTCTTCAAAACTGCACATTCCTGAGTTAAGGTGTCCAGGATTAGAGAGGAAGCGAGATTAGGACAATAAAATGTAGCCGGTACAAGAAGTAACCAGCATATTCCATTTTCTGGCCTTTCATTTGCCTTGTCTGAGATGTTAGCTTATGTCTTTGCCTCTTTACGCTCTCAGGTGTTTCCCCCCTCCCTTAAGTTAAAGCTAAAATCATCATGCAATTGCCAAATCTCTTACTTAGCAGTCTGACAACAGTGGGCTTGTTATCCTTGTTACCACTTGCTGCAGAGTTTAACTAGTGCAAGTCCAGCAGATGAGGCAGGACCAGGTTATTCACTGAAGACACTGTTACCTGTCACTATGCACGTGAATTTAGCATCAGAGTCCTCGGACACAGAACGGGATTTGATAGTGGTTTCAAATAGTGGCTGTGTTTCCTCCGTCAGCTGAGAAATGATTGCGCAGAAGGTGCTCCTGGAAGATTCAAGAAGCATTTCTTAGAGATCAAAGCACCAGAAAAATCAAAGGGTCTGCTTTCTGTCTCATCTCAGCAGCCTTTGTTCTTGTTGTACGTGCCCTCTTCCCTCCCATCATCCCTACACTTGCTCATAAGTCCAGTCCAGTGTCAGAGCATTTGACTGATTTCTCCCTCCTAAGATGACTGGCAATTTAAAGTGTCATTTGGGAGACATTCCCTTTGTCTTAGCCTTTATGGCTATCGGGGCAATGAATGTCAAGAACCATTTTAGTTCTTTATTACAACAAAACATCTCTTTGGCCAGTCAGCAGGCTCAGGGCCAGACCTAACAAAGTAATTTCTGAACCGTCAGTGTTTCAAGTGCTGTTCTGTTCACTGGGATTTTTCTTTATTTCTGAAGAATTCTTATGTCATTTTAGGCCAAGTGTGAACTGAATACATATCAAGAACACAGCAGCTGTCTGAGAATTAAGAAAAGCTGGCAGTTGTGGGATAGCTCACTGAAGGAGACTGAGCCTGGCTGGCAGCTTTCTGTGCTCAGGAATTAGCTGGGAAGCTGGCATCCATTTGCTGCCTAACCTCTCACTGCTGCAGGTAGGACTCACAGTCCCTACTCCTTGAGCTCAGGCACTGACCTCAAAGTTTAGGCTGGGATACCCAAATAGCCAGAACTATCCAATCAGTGCAATCTGTGAAGCTCCATAGTGGGCCTTGAATTTCCCAGATATTTCAGCACTGTTCAATGAGAGCAATAAATCACTGTATTCATCCAGCATTGCCAACCCTGCTAAAGCATCACCAAGGGAGGTCCCAGAAGATCTGGGCTTTCTTAAATAAATTCCAGCTTGGGTCTTCATTCAGATAATGCTCTGAGACTCTTGGAAACTAAGAACTTCTTATTTAATTTTTCCCTCTGCAATTAAAACACTACATGTTTACAGTAGGAGAGGGGACCCCATGGTCTCAAGCAAAAGGATCTTGGCAGAAACAGCAGATATTACAAGAGAACTGTAGCTGGCAGCTCTATTTATATAATTTTTAGCAGTGAAAGACATTCCTTAAACAAGTGATCAGCTTCTAGAGACATGCAAGGGGTGGAACAACCCCCCAAACCACTCCTGACACAGCTCCACCACGAGCAGAAGGGCTCAGAGCACGTGGTGGGGGCTCCACGAGGAGGACCCCGGCCTCACAAGCAGCCCTTGGCTTGCAGGCAGGATGCTGGTGCTGCTGCTACTCATGCTCTACCTGCTAAAGAAGCAAACTTGTTGAGAAAAAACCAGAAAACCCCACATTTAGCGTGAACCAGCAAGGGCAGGTGCACTGACAGGGACTGAGCAGACATGGCTGAAGGTGTCAGGAGAGCTCCAGGCACAGCAACTGCCTGTTCCATCCACCCTGAAAACTTACCTGGAGGCTGCAGTGTCATGATTTTCACTCTGACTTCCTGCTAGAATGGGTTCGTAAGAGACACAGGGAGATGAATCCCTGAGTAACAAACCACTGGAATGCAGCTGGAGTCTCACCCAGCTCCCAGGCACCTTGTGCTGGGTAAGGGACAGGGGAAGCTCAGGCTGTTGCAAACCTGACTCATCTACTGTATGAAGGTTATAAGCACTGTCTGTATCCAAACATACGTGTGGGATGGGGTAAAAAAACAGATTCCACTGCTCAGATTCTTTTCTGTGGAAACCAATGGTCCACAGGACACTGGTCCTGGTAAGCAACTCTTCACACAGTTGTGGGGCCAGGAAAGGGCTGTGGGAGTCAAAAGCTGTTTCAAACCAGAGAAACCTTCCCAAAGTCCAACCCCAAGAGAAAAAAATGCCCAAATGCCCATTTCCACAGAGCAAGGCAGACAATCCAATACCAAGGCAGTTACTGGTAGGGTTTTGATTATCCCTTCAAAATACAGACCCCCAGTCCCATACCAGTAAATGCCTTTTAGATCCACATAAAGGAACTTCCCAAGCATCAATGAACATTTCATACCCCAGCAGGAGAGCAACTGGGTCAGCATCTTAAAAATCAAGTGATGCACACACACACAGTGACACTCAGGACCCAGTTTAATCCCAGCACCACGCCACCAGCAGGCAGCACCAGGAATAAGTCTGGTCCACTCAGTGCAAATCCCACAACCAAGTGAAATACAGCAAAGGCTACTGAATGGTTTAGGAAAGCAGCGTGGCCAGGAGCTGGGGGCTCCACAGGCTCAGCAGACGAATCAGAGACTTGCCCAATGACACTTGGCAGGAAGCCTGGAAGGTCTATTGAGTCTTTCAAAGAAACCATTGTGTTGGCCACAGGGGTTTTGGATGCTGGGCACTGTGGGGCTCTCAGCTGACTCATTCCAGCTGCAAAGAGGCTTGTCCAATTCAAATTGCTTTCTAAACGAGTAATTCAGAGTATTCAAGGAATTCGACACAAAGCACCAGCTGCTTTTCCTCCGGGCCTTCCTGGAGCTGCATCCTTGGGGCAGAAAAAGCCCTGGAGACTAGGAAGGAACCCTAGCAATTCAGTAGCCTTTTCACATTAAAGAGGGATTTCCATACAAAAGCCTGTTGGAGAAGGAGATTCCAGAAGTGTATTCCTCTTCATCATGATTTTCTTTTTCTGACTTTTTGGTTAGCAATCCCACAGCTACAGGGGTGTTCAGGAGAGGCCTTTCCCTCCACAGTCATTCCTCTACCTGCCGTTGCAGCACACCAGCAATGCAAGTGCATTTCCAAATGTGTTCTTTTGCCAAAGGCAAAGTACAGCTGTACAAGTGCATTTTGGGGCAGAGTCCAAGTGAATGAGGATACTCACAACAGTGGCGGGGGATGGGGGAAGAAAATCTCTTTCCTAAAAGTCTCAGGGCAGGTATATCCAATTTTTAATGTCTCTGTATGGAAGTCTCACTTTAATATCAAGAAGTAGCTGAACACCCAACCTTTGGCTAAAAAAGAGGAATATTTCTTGCACCTTAATACAGAAATTACAATGAACATTCATTTTTCTGTCTGCAGTTCAAGAAAGTATTAGGGATCCAGTCATGCAGAATGAGGCTGTTAGATCACTTCAGGTCTCTCGACTGATTAATTAATTAGTACCAAAGCACTACAGGTTAGTCATGTGCAGGCAGATTCAGAAAAGTGTTTGGTCAGAACAGTTTAATGCAACGCAGTTTTACCTTCCTAAACTGGAGGGACAGAATCTGCTGCTTGATAAGCTAAGCAAAAAACAGCATAAAAACCATTAGAGAGAGAAGCATGGAAAGGAGCTGAAATAAACAAACCGTTACAGAGACGTATTAATGATGAGTCGTTTTGCAGAGGTCAGAGTTCCTATTTAAAGAAGGTACAGCTGCCTTAGGCTGCCTGCCAGGACGAGCAAGCCACATTGTGAATTGAAATCAAAGGCTGTAAAAATGAAATGGTCGTTAACCGCAGAGAACCAGTGTCAGGATGTTTATACAAGTAGGTTTCTGAGAAGCAGCACCTTGAGCCTTCCATGCACCAGCGTTGTGCTCAAAGCAGGCAACTCCCCCCGGGGAGGTGTCCAATTAAACAGTAGGAGGGAGTCTGGACCGGGACCCCCCCCCTTCTCTGATGGCAAGCAGGTGGCCTGAGCTGGGTGCCCTCTGTGCTTCCAAGGACAGCTCCTGGGAGAAGCTGATAGCTCCCTAGTCACTATGCATGGCTTTCCAGCCTACCAACCAAATCACTAAGGTCTGGCAAAACATTAAAATAAAATAACAGAAGGAGATTTTACAAGAATCTACACGTTTTGCTTTCTTTGCAGGAGCATGTTGTAACATTAACCGATTCAGGGAACAAAATCAAACATCCGAGTCCTGCACAAAGGACACCCGGATGATCTACTTACCAGTGGTCACCAGCTCTCTCGAGGGAGTGTCTTCAAGGACTCATGTCCTAGCCAAAAGGCCACACTGCCGGATTGTGGCAGTGTGACAACCTCTGCACATTGACATGCGGCAGTCAGAAGCAGTTCCTCAGGCCCTGAGCTCACCCACGTGGCAATCAAAAGTCTAAAACTAACCAGGGACTGACTAGTCAACAGCAAGTAAGCTCAGGGATTTAATTGCACTGAGATACATAGTTGTGCCTATGCAACAGCCTCACCATGTAGCCTCAGAAATGACTGCAGCGCAGATATCCCCTCTGGGATGTAGGATACCAGACTCCCACATCTGTCCATGCAGACAGATCAAACCTTCTCAGCTTCTGCTCTGAAGACCAGTGAACCACCAAACTTCAGTGCTCTATGAAGGTGCTAGAGAAGACAGCAGGAAGAACCACCTGAAGGTCCACCTGAAAGTGCACCTCTTCAGGTCTCCTACCCAAATGTGCGAGTCCCAGTCACGTGGAAGTCAGCAGGACTCCAAGTCTTGCCCTAAAAATGACGACAGAGAGACTCTGAAAAGTGCTTCTGCCAACTGTATGTTCCACGGGTGGAGGCAGAACCTTTACATGAGTAGAAGAAAAAAAGTTCAGCTCGGAGGCCTGACGCTTTACACAAATCATTGCACATTTACACCAGGGAAAAAAACCCTGAAGGGCTCACTGACTCTTCTCCTTCAGGAGAGCAAAGACAGCAGAAGTTTTAGACAGCTGCTCAGGAGCAGCTTTAACCCAGCAAACATGGGTAGCAGTGGCTTCACCCTCTCCACCCCCAGCTACACAATCCTGATCCCTTCCCAGTGCCAACTGTTGTTCATGAAGCCAGAGGATGCCAGAGATTGGGCATTATCCAGCTGGGAAAATCAAACATTAACCATAACAGGCTGATCATCACGATCATCACACACAATCCATCTTTCGTGTGCTGTGTTGGCCCATGGGAGAAGTCAGACAGAAGAACTTTGTCTGTCCAGCTGAGCTCCACCACCTGTGACATCCCTGTGAGCTCCATGTCCTTTCTGGCACTGCCAGGCACACCTTTGCATTACCTGCTTTACTGATCACCACTTCACCTTGTCCTCATCACTCACAGACACCCTCAGAGCTCAAACTGCACCTTTTGTTGCTCTCACCCTGTCCTGACCTCCCAGGGATCCAGCTTCCTCCTCCCCATGCTCCTCCCAAGCACTACCACTGCAGGTGATCCCATGGACAGATTCATCCTTGTGCTCTGGGATGCCCCCAGGCAGCTCTGTCTGGCTGGAAACACAACTCATGGGCTTAAACTGTCTCAACCACCAACTTCTCAACTGTAAATGAACACCAAATCATTTTGCTTACCACTGCAAGGGAAAAACATCCTCTTGCCCTCCAGGAATACTAAGGACCTGGGCATCCCTTGAGGGAAGATCCCAAAATCCCTGCTGGAAAATGCTAGTGTAGGCAGAAGTGTGGTTTTAATCATCATTTCTTGCATAAGACAAATGGGGATGTGTCTTGGCTTAGATGTAAAGAAAAGAGGAGTCAGAAGGAAGGGTGTCAGTGCCATGAACCCCTTGTGCTCATGCATGTGATCAAACACTGAGCATTGACAGTGCTTTTTTTTTAATCCCCAGTGTTAAGGCAACGTGGGCTTTATTCACTTCACATCCTCAGACAACGCTGAACGCTGGACTGAGGGTCTCTTGAGGAGCTTTGATATTATCAGAAGAAAAAGGCCATGATGTATTAACTGAAGTTTAACCTCAATATGCTAAATTTGCTTTTCAGACTAGAGTTTTAAACCCCGAGAGAGGAAGATCAAACCGTGGATGCTGCAGCCAGCACAGCCCTGCCTGCAGGCAGCTGGTGCTTCACTTCAATTACGTTCCAGCATATCCATATAGAGCTGCAACAGCACAACTACATCAGACTCTGAACCCAATCTACTCACCTGGAAACCCCAGTGTGCCTGGTCTGATCCTTGCTGGGACTGGGCTGTTTGTGCCCTGGGCTCCCCAGGGACTTATTAGCACAAACAGCACAGGGCTCTGCTAACAAAATGCAGCATCAGCAGTGGATGTGTCTCCCTCGAGCAAGCTCAGGGCCATTACAGTTACTGGATGAATGTAAACGCTTATGTTATCCTGAGGAACACATCTAAAGTGGTGAATCAGTCTCAAGTATAGGGCTTCTTTCTACTGGAGAAGTGGAGTTCAAAGAGGCTGCTCTAGGCATGTCCAGCATCAGTGGGAGGAGGCCAGCTCGGGCACACCTCACATCCATGAAATGAAGCTCAGCTTTTTATAAGCTAGTTCTGAAAATACAAGTTTGTTTATTAACAGCTGGACACAGAATTATACTCCTCTAGCACATACCTTCTACCAGTCTCAGTTCTTCTTTAAATTCTGTTGTATCAGAGACTTTCAAATTCCTTCAGCCATTTATCATACTCTTAAATGTTTTAGCCCTTCAACTACCCATAATTTCCTTTGGAAGTGAAGACAGCCTTCCCCGTTTTTAGGCACTTGCCAAATTTCAGTTTTGCACGGGCAGGAGGCAGAACTGTCAACACCACTCACTTTTTTTAACCACTCAAGTTGATGGCCTGGTCTGGTACACCACCTCACTGGCACTGAAAAGTTAACTGCTTGAAAAACATAGATGTTCAACCTGACACTTTTCTAACCCTCTCATGCAATCACTCCATGAAATTGCCCTCTTTCAGTATTTCTTCTCCCCGAGATAAAGAAATCTCTCTCCTTCCAGCTCATTCCTCACACAGAAGTCAACAAGAGCTCAGGAGACCCTGAAATAGGCTTAACAGTGGCTCCATCCTCATATGGACAAGCACCTGGACTTGAGCTGCTTGAACTGCAGCAGTCATCAATATTTTTTCTGTGCTTCTCCACAGCATGAAAATTGAGCCACACAAGCTGCTCAGTGCAGGAAGGAAACAGCTAAATGAGTCCATGACAGCAAAGCAGAGAGC